TCTACTCATTATTCCTGCCTGTTGCCACACACTGAGATGAGATGGAATAAGGTAGCACATGTCCTTGAGCCCTTCAGATGATACTCACATGTTTGCCTTTCTGCAGTGTAGTGGTCAGTGACTCAATTATTTCCTTTGCATTCTTCTCCTCTCTCCACTAGTGTTATGGCTTTTCTAAAACAGTGTCCTTGGTGTCTAAAATATCCAGGTTTTCAAGACAACATCTATATACAACTTTGTGTCATTTCTGTTCCTCCTCTAAAAAGTATATATTCACCAATATTATTGAAAATAACCTTAGGGAAAAAGAGTTATGTAAAAAGTTGTTGCTGCCATACTTCTGCTTTCTCATACAGCAAAATACTCCAAGTTCTAATCAAGACTACAATGTTTGAATTAGTGATTCAAAGTTTGTGTTTGTGTGTGTGTGCTTTGTGATATAAAGACCCTGTGTGTAGCCTAAAGCTGCAAGAGATAGGTTACATAGATTTTGGAATATCTATATAATGGAATATCAGAAATATAATACAACCATTAAGGATGATGTTTAGATGCCATAAGAAAATGCTTATACTAAAATTTTTAATAAAAAAGTTATGTTAGTGTGATCCAAAATTATCATTAAAATATGGTACATTTTAAACAGTTGCTTTCTCTAAGTGGTGGGATCACAAGTACTTTTTCCTGCTTTGTTCCTACATTTTTTGTGCTATCCAATATTTTTAGCTATATTGGGGGAAAAAGGCCAAAAAAAAAAAAAAGACAGAGAGAGAAAGGAAGGAAAAAAATGAAAAGAAAAAAAGAATTGTGGTATAGGAATAGTATTATAGCTGATCAAATACAACTCTTTGATCTTTCTTATTCTAAGCCTGTATTTGTTTGTTTATTTATTTAGAGACAGGGTCTTGCTTTGTGTTCCAGGCTGGAGTGCAGTGGCACAATCATGGCTCACTGCAGCCTCGACCTTGGAAACTCAAGCAACCCTCCTGCCCCAGCCTCCTGAGTGGCTGGTACCACAGGCACATGTCATCATGCTCGGCTAAACTTTTTTACTTTTAGTTTTTGTAGAGATAGGGTCTCCCTATGTTGTCCAGTGTGGTCTTGAACCTCTGGGCTCAAGAGATCCTCCTCCCTTGGCCTCCCAAAGTACTGGGATATAGGCATGAGCCACTGAACCTGGCCTGTAGTTTTCTAAAATGAAGAAAGTCAGCCTGAGGTTGTATGTGCCAGCTCAAATGCCTTGTCCTATGGATTAATGGTGGGCAATGTTTAGTGTGACAGTGATGATGACAGCTGCTATTTATCAATAAGTTCTATGTGCCAAACAGGATTCTTTATATATATTATCTCATTTAATCCTCATAGCAGCCCCACAAGGTAGTAAGATTATCTCCATTTTGTTGATATGAAACTGAAACATACAGGTAAAGTAACTGGCTAAGATCATCCAGCTGGGATTCAAGCCCTCGAATGAGCATACCATTTACAACACATTAGCATTCACAGCACCTCAGCATTAGTTTCAAAATATTTGTTAAATGAGGTGACCCTATGAGGTGCTACTTAATTGTGCTTCAGAGAATCAGCGCACCAAGAAGCAGATCAAAGGAATCTCCCTACTGATACCTCAAAGAAACTCCACTGAAGGACTTTTATCAAAGTCTGTTGTGGAGGTGGAGATGGCTTCCTCAATGAGGTAGTGATAGGGTTACTTGTACCTTTTTTTCTGTGACATCAGTCATATACTCTTGTACCCAAGGTGCAAGGCATATGAGAAAAATGTATCGTCTATAATCAGACATTCAATTTAATTGGGGAGACAAGTAACACATAGAACACACATGATAAAATCAGCACAAGGCGGCTGGGCGCGTTGGCTCAAGCCTGTAATCCCAGCACTTTGGGAGGCCAAGGTGGGCGGATCACAAGGTCAGGAGATGAGACCATCTTGGCTAACATGGTGAAATCCCGTCTCTACTAAAAATACAAAATATTAGCTGGGCATGGTGGCGGGCGCCCGTTGTCCCAGCTACTCCGGAGGCTGAGGCAGGAGAATGGCGTGATGCCGGGAGGCGGAGCTTGCAGTGAGCCGAGATCGTGCCACTGCATTCCAGCCTAGGCGATGGAGCGAGACTCCGTCTCAAAAACAAAACAAAACAAAAAAACAAACAAACAAAAAATCAGCACAAGGCAAAAAAATCCATTCATAATTAAATGTTAAGTCAATGGCAGAGCAGATAACTAGTGTCATCTAGTAGGAAGAACTGTCAGCTCTGAAGTGTCATAGAATTCTGAAGGTACAGGAAACAGCACTTGGAGATCACCTAGCCTAGCTCCAGCAGTTCAAGATTTGACCTAGTAACTTGGTTAAGATCACACTGCTGCTAAGTAGCAGAGATGGGTAAAGTACCTAAGGAAGCCTGATATTAAGTAGTCTAAGAAAAGCCTTTCAAGGACAAGTAGAGTGAGGTGATGGCACTTTAGATGAAAAGAGTGGACAACATTCTCCTTTCCTGGTTTAGCAAAATTAACCTGCCACTGGTCTGATTTTTAGATTGCAGGATGGTGAATAGTCTCGGCACTGAGAAGTCAGATTAAAATTTGTTAAATAATCTAAAAATACTGATCTGTTTTATTCCATCCATCATTTTCAAACACGAAGTATTTTAATGTGTATTGTCCTTTGCCAGAATATTACAAAATAGAAACACACCTATCCACATATGCATTCCAGATGCCTTTACAAGTGTTAACACTGGCTGTCTTAACACACATCTTGTTTGGACAGAGACCAAATTGTTGTAACTGACCAGGAGGAAATAATTATTTGTCTAGTTGATGCTTCGCCACTGGTACACACTAAAGTTTGCATTTAAAGCACCCAACTACTCTTTGCAAAAATTGTTCCTGTAAAATCTGTCAGTCATCAGCAAATAGGAATAAGCTTAGAGTATGTAAATACTCACAGAGTGCGTAAATGTTCCTCTTAGAGTACCTACTTCCTCTTAGAGTAACTAAATATCAACTAATTGGACAATATTCTTTTTATAAAGATACGTTAATGTCAATAGGCAAGGCACAAAGATATTAAGTTAAGCCATTTTCAAGAAATTTTGGTAGTGAAAAGGCCAGATTTGACTCCTCGGAACATGTAAAATTTATTTTAGAAATGGTTGTTCAAATCTGAGAGAAGAAAACATGGTAAATAATGTAAATCCAATTTTAACAAACCATTTTTAAAAAATTATAAGTAACAATCATGTTCATGAAACTTAAAACAACTAGGATTTTTATTTTGTAAGAAATATAAACCACTTTAATCTCTGACACAAAGCACACAGGCAGATAGTTACACTTTCTTGTATTTTAAAATACTTTCTGTGGGTTTGCAAGCACAAGTTAAGGCTCAGGTTAGTTTTTCTCTGTCTTCAAGGTATTCTTAGAAGGTGTATTTTCAATTCCTCAGAAGTTATTTCAAGAGATGTTATATCCTCAATTAAACATAGAAGATTAAGTTAGAAGCTCCCTTTCATTATATTTTAGCTATTTTCATTGCAAACTCTAGTACAATCTGTCAATGTAGATCAGAGAAATAACTGAAATGTAGCTTCAAAATAAGTAAAACAGGTTTATAAACTACAGGTAATCAATATTAAGTCCTGACTTTTAAAATATTAATACGAATGAAAGTCATTTTCTAACAAGTATCAAAAACAAAAGCAAATAAAAATTCAGGTGCTAGATTACAACCTTACACCTTACAACCTTAGCCAAATCTGCTGTTTGGCTTCAAAGTTCCACAGAAAATCTTAACCTACAAACTTAACATTTCAAACTCACAAGATGCAAGTACCAGAGTCACCCACAGTCATGTCAAAGTCCTTTCCAAGGTCTTAGAAACCTTAATCCAATGCAGAAAAGTTAAGAGTCAAAAAGACATAGAAACAGGGAAAAGTGAAGGTGTTATTTGCCAAACATTAAACTTTTACAGAAATCCAAAACCTACTTAACAATTTCCCTATATCGAACAGCATAACCTCTATGCAAAAGGTGTGTGCTCAAATGCAGTCATTTATTAGCATTTACTGTACTTACTTTGATTTTTGCCATTTATAAGCTTCATTAAAGATACCCACAAAGAAGTAACCAGTTGAATGAGGATCAGCTAAGAAAAACCAGCTGTAAACTCGACCTACAAATTTACATCCCACAACGTCCTGTGGGGAAGGTACACTTTACAAACTACCATTATATATACAAGCTTTAGATTGTGAAATAATGCACTTCGGCTTTCTGCCGTGTACATTACAATTACAAACCCTCAACTCAACCTCCCCCCTCTTTGAAAAAAAAAAAATCCACCTCCAATCTTCATTGGTCCACATAGTTCCGGCCCACATGGTATCAGTAGGTGTGTCCCTCCCAAAAAACCCTCTCATTGGCTGTGAAGAAACAGCGTCTAATAGGCTGTGATTTTGGGGGTTGTTAAACTCCACGCCTCCAGACTTGCGCTTTCCAATAGACCCGAGACGCCGCCGGCTACTCTGTGATTCAAAGGGCAGGCAACCCCAGCAGGACGCGCTCAGAGAAGCGAGAAGGGTGAGAAAGGAGAGGGCACCCTCGGTGTGCCGCCCACTTTATCCTCACTCCTGGACCCCAGCAAACGTTCACACACATGCTTTTCCCAGCCACCAGTTAGAAGGGCGGACAGAGCGTTCGCCTATTATAGATCCTTGACCTAGGGACCCGCTCAAGCTCCATGTCCAATCGCCCCATTCTACGGATAGAAGCGAGCAAAAGGCAGGCTCAGGCAACGACCTGTAGTGCTTGATGCCCCCTGGGAAAAGAATGAGTCCCAGGAACCCACTCTGTGCAGTCCCTCGACCGCAGACGCGGGGGCGCACAGGACGTGCTGCGGCGTCTGCCCCAGCTGCTCCCAGTCCCGGGCCCCGCACGCTGCGTCTGCCTTGCGCCCGCGCTCCCCTCCCAGCGGGACTTACGCGGCCTGTTCTTTCTCCCCGAGTCCATCCTCCTCCGCAGCCGGCATTTCTTGGCCGGGGAATCATGCTGAGGGAGCAGTGGCTGCGGCTGGAGCTCCGGTAGGAGCGGGAGGCGCTGGGGCACTGCGTCGTTGCCGCCCACGGGACCCCGGCTGCAGACGAGCGGCGGCTGGACTGGCGGCGGATGGAAGCCGTTGTGCAGCAGCCCGTTCACAGCGGCGGCGCTGGTGCCCACGGGGGCCCCAGGGGAGTGCGGGGCCGAGCGCTCCGGCTGCCCGCCGCGGTCGCCCATGCCGGGTGCTGGCGGGGCTGCGCGCGGGCCCCGGCTCAGGCGGCCTCGCTGGAGGTCATTCTCGGGCGTCTTTATTTCCCCGGATCCTCCCTGCGGCTTCCGATTCAACAGCCGCAGAGCCGGCGCCTGGGGATGGCGAACCCGGTGCTCCTCCCCTCCTCCTGCCGACTCCCCCACCTCCTCCGCGCCCTGCCCCCCGCGCGCCGGCCCCACGACGCCGGCCTGGAGCACGCCAGCCCAGGGCTCGGAATCGGGGATCCCCGCGCACCCCCAGCCGGGGCTCCCGCCGCCCGCCTTCCCCCGATCCCCGGGCCGCGCGACTTCAAACGCGGCTTCCTCGCCTCCCAGACTGGTCCCCGCCACTGAGCATGCCCAGTCCTGCCCGCCACCGCCACCGACGAGTTTCAACATGGGGAATCAAGTTCTCTGGGCTTGCAGAGAGGAGATGGGCGGGTTGGGCTTTGTATGGCGGAGTGAAAACGAGAGGGGTCTGGGAGAGACAGCGAGAGGAGCGAACCGCTTCAGGAGGAATACGGGAGGAAGACAAATATTTGCAGAGGTTTCAGGTTTGCTAATCCTGTCCCCAGTGGGCAAGATACCTTTGCAAGGTCATTCACGTTACCCTCCCCGCTTTGTGAGTGTGTGCTTACGCGCGCGCGCGCGTGTGCCTGTGCGTTTGGTTAAGTGACCAAACTACTTAGAGGCCTGAGGGGCGGGAGGAGAACAATTATTTATAGAAAAGTAGGCAGACTTGGGGAGGGAGGGGAGTGAAATTTCTTTGCTGGCACACACACACACAAACACCATGTGGTTTCATGGAGTTGTCTTTTGCAGGGAGGAAACCTAGGAATACAGTGTAAGGACAGTGAAGGACAAAACTGTAGGCAGGATTAATCGGTGCTGAAAGAGACCAAATAAACAGGAGCAATTACATGCTATAAAAAGCACTTTCCTCACCCAGAAAGGACTTCAAAAGACAATGTCATGTTATTTATAGAGTAAGGAGTTGCCTCTTCTAAGAAGGGAAGGCGGCATCACATGGTGACCAACACCATGAGCTTTGGAGTCAGCAGTGGGTTCAAATTACAACTGGGCCACTGAGCAAACCGAGATAACGTTATTGCTCAAGGTAACACTTCTGGCAATAGGAAATGGGACTGTTCATGCTCAGTATGCAGGACTAATTTGAGTGGTGAGTACCTTCCCAAAGTTATGCAATCTCTTGAGGCCTCACTTTCCTATCCATAACAGGAGGCTGTTGTAAGAAAACCTACTAAAAGTACCTGGTACAATCCTGGCACATAGTAAATGCTCAGAAAGCTAGTTTTCCTTATTATGCTGTTATGATTAAGCAGTTCACCCTTTGTTTCGACGGAGGGGAACAAACCATGCTTACAGCCGTATTTATTGTGTGATTTATTTTGTGATATTCTCCACGATTTGCAATTAATCTACAGAGGAGTCAGAGTCTGGCAAGTGCTGGCTGGCTACTGGGTTGCTGGGCCCCTGGGTTTCAGTGCATTCAGCAGCATCTAGGGCTTGCATCTGGCAATTCCTTCCAGCAGAGCCTCACCTAGAATCAGAGCTTCAGAACCATGGGGGCCACTGGAGCACTCTGGTCCATCCACTCTTGTACACTTTTTTCACATCAGGAAACTGAGCTGCAGATAGATGGCTGAGATTAAGAGCAAAGGTGGAACTAAACCCTAAATCTCAACTCTCTTGGCTTCCCTAACCTTATGCTATTTAAAGACAGACAAAAAAACCCCAGGTGATCTGGCCCCTCCCTACCTCTCCTGTCTCATAAGGGGCTCCCTGTGCTGCCTTCAATTCCTTAAACAACATTCTACTCTTTCCATTGCCTGCAGGTCTCTTCTCTAAGACCTCTTTTGTCTACTAGACTCCAACTTTAGATCTCCTGTTTAACTTCTCATATTTAGAGAATGTTCCCTCACCCTTAGGGCTACATTAGGTCTCCCTGCCATATCCTCTTCCTACTCCTTGTACTCCCTTTATGACTCCTTATCAGTTTGTAACTATACAATGCATCTGTTCCCTCATTTGTAACTTGAGAGTAATAGGACACCACTGAGTTGTTAGACTGATGAAATGCGTAACACATGTGTAAAATTAAATAATTCAAACTTCAAGCTGTTGGAACTTTATGGTGAGACTTGAGAGAAATGTGGCTATGCAGCTACAACTTCTGTTTTTTTTTTTTTTTTTTTTTGAGACAGGGTCTCACTCCTTCACCCAGGCTGGAGCACAGTGGCACAGTCATAGCTTACTGTAACCTCCAACTCCTGAGCTCAAGTTATCCTCCCACCTTGGCCTCCCAAAGTATTGGAACTATAGGAATGAGCCACCATGCCTGGCCTTGCCTTTTTTCCTTGTAAATAATTAGGAAGACCAAGCACGGCCAGAGATATGAATCCCTTGGATCATTGCCTCTCCTCGCAGAGTAATAATCTTCCTTGGAATGCAGCAGTCTGTAACCAATCAAATCGCTGTGGCATATGCATTGGTTTTGTATGTTAAATGTAATTCTGCTGGAACTTCTCCATCTCTGCCGGTATAAGTGAAATCTTAACTTCTCCACTTTAGAGCACTGATCCCACTCATTTGGAGTTAGTGTTTCCAGGTGGCTATCCTCAAGCTTTGCACTCAAACTTCATAGTTAATCATATTCTCTAAATCTTATTTAAGGTTAACATATGTAAAGTGTCCAGTACATTGTAAGTGCTAGGAAAAGTTACACATTATTATTATTTGTTTGCCCATCTCACCCCACTTCACTGTAAGTGTCTTTAAGGCAGATGACTTGTTCATCACTCTGTCCCTAGAAGGCGCTTGGTAATAATTTGTGACTGGATAAATGACTTATATCAAGCTCGTCTAGCCCGTGGCCCACAGGCTGCATGCGGCTCAGGACGGCTTTGAATACGGCCCAACACAAATTCATAAACATGAGATTTATTTTTGCAACTTTTTTTTTAGTTAGCTCATTAGCTATCATTAGTGTTAGTGTATTTTGTGTGTGGCCCAAGACAGTTCTTCCTCTTCCAGTGTGACCAATGGAAGCCAAAAGATTGGACAACCCTGACTTAGATGATATTTCACACAGAGTCCCCCTCACTTTCTACTGTAAATTTGCTAAAAATCACCAGTCACTCCTAAATATTCAAATATATCATTTTCAAATTCCCACATAATTGAACTGAGTGGCTTAGGAGGCAACTTACATCAGAGATGCAAATAGAAGCTTTAGCATTGCAATATCTCCAAGCACATATTTTTTCCAGCTTGATTCCCAGGCCTGCTGAGGAAGGTCTGAGCCAGGTGGCTCAGACCCAGGCAGGGCAAAAGTACTGGTACTGGGACAGAACGTCCTCCACCTGCTTCCTTTCTCCTACCCTTGTCAGACTGGGTGCTTGCATCAGTTACACCCAGCGTATGGTAGGGAAGCAGCCAGGTGGCATCTCACAGGTTTATTCAGGGGTGTGTGTAGGAGGTGTAACTTTGGGGCGTGAGCTGTCATGTGCTCTAAGAGGGGCATGCAACAAATGTTTGGAAGAGAGTGAGGGAGAAGGGAACCCACAAACCAGCGCACTCCCTTGGGTCTTATTCATTTATTTATTAATCATTTACTGTGTTTACTATGTTGTAGGCACTAAAACATGCTGGGAATACAAAGACAAGATAGATGGCTTCACTGCCCTCAAAAGGCTTACAATTCAGTAGAGAGAGAGAAGTCAGTGATTCTCCAGCATCAGTGTTATGTAAGAATAACCTAGGGAATTTTTCCTTTTTAACTTTGTATTAAAACTGACATACATGCAGAAAAGTATGCATATCTTATAAAGCTCAAGGTATTTTGCAAAAAATGAACATGCAGTGTAACTTGCAACCCAGGATATTTTGTAAGCACAGATTCTGGGTCCAGTTCCATAGACTGATTCATCAATAGGTGATGACGATTATAACGATGATGATAATAAATATTTTTTAAATTAAAAAAATAACTTTTTCAAAACCAGGGGATTTGAGGCAGATGATCATCACGGTTTGGGGAAACAATGAAGGAAGCAAAGTATGCCGTCTATACTGTGGGAGGTAACTCCAGAAGACCCCAGAGAGTGAGCAATGACAGAGTCAAGGGTGGGGGATTGTGGGGGAGTGGTGCTGAGATGGAAGCTAAAACAGGGTTCAGGGAGGAAATGACCCTTAAACTGAATTTTGAATAATATTGGCCTCTCTTCAGGTGAATAGGGAGAGAAGGTTTAAAAGAATCCACTCAGAACTGAAGGAGCCAAGACTCTGTGGGTGCATTTGAAACAACCTGGCATTTTTGGGAAACTGCCAGGAGTTCCACAGGCTGAAGAGCAGCTTGAGAAGGGAGAAGGTGAGTAGTAACGGCTGAAAAGTTTATGTAACCAACCAACAAGCTCATTTTATCTGCTGCCCACATACAGCCGATTTATCAAGACAGGGGAATTGCAAAAGAGAAAGAGTTAATTCACGCAGAGCCAGCTGAACAGGAAACTGGGGTTTTATTACTCAAATCAGTCTCCCTGAAAATTCAGAGGCTGTGGTTTATCAAGGATAGTTTGGCAGACCAGGGAATGGAGTGCTGCTGATTGGCTGGGGATGCAATCATAGGAGTGTGGAAAATGGTGCTGCTGCATGTGTGCCGAGTCTGCCTCTGGGAGGGGCCACAGGACAGGTTGGCAGGTCAGGTGGAGCGACTGTTTGTCAAAAATGCAAAACTCTGAAAAGACATCTCAAAAGGCCAATCTTAGGTTTTACAATAGTGATGTTATCTGCAGGAGTATTTGTGAAAGTTGTAAATCTTGTGACTTCTGGAATAATGACTGGTAAACATTTATGTCTACACTTTAGCAGAATTCAGGCTCCTCTTATCTGCTTAACCTATAAAGACTGTTTAGGGCCGGGCGTGGTGGCTCAAGCCTGTAATCCCAGCACTTTGGGAGGCCAAGACGGGCGGATCACGAGGTCAGGAGATCGAGACCATCCTGGCTAACACAGTGAAACCCCGTCTCTACTAAAAAATACAAAAAACTAGCCGGGCGAGGTGGCGGGCGCCTGTAGTCCCAGTTACTCGGGAGGCTGAGGCAGAAGAATGGCGTAAACCCGGGAGGCGGAGCTTGCAGTAAGCTGAGATCTGGCCACTGCACTCTAGCCTAGGTTACAGAGCAAGACTCCATCTCAAAAAAAAGAAACCAAAAACAAAAAACAAAAAACAAACAACAACAACAACAACAAAAAAAGACGGTTTAGTTTTGGTGAAGGGCTACTATCATTTAAACTATAAACTAAATGTATCCTAAAGTTAGCTTGGCCCAAGCCCAGGAATGATTAAAGGCAGTTTGGAGGGTAAAGGTAAGGTGGTGGTTGGTTAGATCAGATCTCTTTCACTGTCATAATTTTCTCACTGTTATAATTCTTGCAAAGGTAGTTTCAATTGAATGGGACCCAAATCTCAAATGGCTTTCTATCCCATAGGAACGAGTTTGGACTTTTAACTGAGGGCTGTGGGAAACTATTGAAGAGTTTTAGGCAGCATAAAAACTACCAGATTTGCATTGTGGGAGGATCTTCAGCAGAAGCCTGGAAAGGAGATTGGGGAAGGAGATCCCTAGTCAGGGAGACCAAGTAGACTA